GGGAAAGAGAAAATAGTGTGAGGAGGGGGATACAGGGGAAAGTGAGGTTGATGTTATTCAGTCGCACAGTTGAGTCCTGACTCTTCGTAACCCCATGGACCACATCACACCAGGCCCTCCTGTCTTCCGCCATCCCCTGGAGTTTGCTCAGTTTCATGTTCATTGCATTGGTAACACTTTCTACGCATCTCATCCTTTGCTGTCCCCGTCTACTGGTACCTTCAGTCTTTCCCCAGCATCAGGGTCTTCTCCAGTGAGTGCTCCCTTCTCATTTGGTGGCCAGAGTATTTGAGCTTCAGCATCTGTCCTTCCAGGGAACAGTCAGGGTTGATTTCTTTTAGGACTGACTGATTTGATCTCGTTGCAGTCCAAGGGACTCTCAAGAGTCTTGACCAGACTGTTTAATTTTTTTTAAAGTTTATAAAGTTCATTTCAATTTCTGACAATACAAAAATTTATTCTATAGCCAAAACATACTCTAAAATCATGCAACAGGAAAATAAGAAAACTAGCTCAACTGTCTGACACCTTTAGGACTGGTGTCAGACAGCACAAACCTTAATTCCAAAAGTCAACGGCCAAACATCCGGTGTTCCCTACATTGCTAGGAATTGCAATTCAAATAGGTTCATAGTTCAGGCCTTTTAGACCATCAGAATCTCAGCTAGTCTCTCATCATCAGGGCCTTAGCTTAATTATAGTTTTTGGCCCAGCAACATCAGGTGAGGATGACATCCAATCAGAACATTCTCTCAGAAGGAGCCTCTAGAAAATTACCTCATCACCTCGTTCTTCCCCTCCCCATGCAGACAGCAGGTTCTCATGAGAAACTTATTGCCCTGGCCTAGAAGATAAGAACTGTGTAGGCCATGGGTCCGATTAATAATACCTGCAGGACAGACAACGTTCATGTTCACTGTTCAAGCAGAGGCCAGGGGTGCTTTGCCTCACAGTTGTCGACCTCCAGGTGTGGGGTGGAGCTCACCCAGAATTACAGCTGCTCTCCAGATGATAGAGATCCGTTTTCCTAGAGAAAATGGCTGCTTTGGAGGGTGGACTCTATGGCATTATACCCTGCTAAGGTTGCTTCCCTCTGTAAACCTCACCCACCCTAGGCTTGACCCCAAAATCTCCAGGAATTTCTCAACCTGGAGCTGTCAACCCTAAGAGGGAACTGAGCTCCTTAGTTGGGAGATCTGTTGTAAATCTGGGACATCTCCAGGCCCCACCTGAGCTTGGCAACCCTAGAAAGAGAAGGGAGCAGGAAAGGGGGAGAGACTAAAGGGGCGTTCAGGAAAGAGAAAGAGGAAATAGTGGGGGGGGTAATGAGATGCCTCCCACAAGTCTTTGCAGGTTACTACTTGTACATTTCTAAACAAACTTAACTTTATTGACTTCAGTGGATTTAAAACACAACTCTGTTTTGGACTGCATTTCTAATCTCCATTCTTTACTCATTATTTCAAGAAATTTCTGCAAATTTTATCCTATAGATTGTATTCTAGCATAGCATTTTATCTCAGTTTAAAGAAGACTTGTGAGGAAAGAACAATTTTACATCTGATATCTTGCTACATTGTATACTGGAGCAGACTTGCACAAGCTTAGTTAACACAGGAGAGACCAGGAGAAACAAGTAAGCAAAGACATTCTAAAGCACTATCAAGGTTACAGGCCCAGTGAAAAAAAATCCAAAGTGAGGTCAAGTTGGGAATGTGGCCAGCAGTGGCTGGATAGGAAATGAATGTGAAGTTCCATTGACATGCAGCTAAACATTGACACTGAGTAGATAAATTACTAGTGTGAAGGTGAGGCATGTACCACCAAGTGAATTAAATATTAACCATGGTAAAGGAGGAAAAATAACATTCTCTTTGATGCCCATCAAATTGTGATTACTCAGAACAGAAGCAATGTTCCTTGGTTTTGTGTGCTTTTAACAATTTTACTGCGCTCTTCTAAAATATAACTTAACTTGCAAGCAGCTTTCAGAGGAATGGCATTTAGATGAGGGAGTTGCATGGTAAAAACGAATTGGTCATAGTTTGCCAAGACACCAAGAGAAATCTTCTGTTTGGTTTGTACATTAAACAAATGAGGCCTCAGGCCACCTCAGGAAAAATATAGAACATACCAGGACATGTTACTAAATGTTAACTGCTCCCTCTCATATGAAGAGATGGAAGCTTCATGTCAAATTCATTTTATTTATGTTATTTATAGTCTGCCTTTCTCACTGGGGTTCAAGGCAGATTACACAGAGTACATCAATATAATCAACAGGATGGGACATCTAATAAACAGTGCAATAGGGTTAGGATTGTAGAGATCTGGAGACAACCAGAAATCTGAGAACAGAACTGATTGAAGCAAAGCATATGCATTAACATGATGTATTAAATGATCCTACTTAGAGTAACAGGCAGTACGGGCTATACATAGTAGTACAGACCACAGTCCCTAACCCTTTATCCAAGTATATTTCTCAACCGTTTGGCTACAGGCCAGCATTGATACCTGTGTAGAAAAGTCCTCTTGGATAAATCAGTTGTGCATACTTTGTGGAAAGTTGGGAGAGTGGGAATCTTCCTGACTTCATCAGACAGGCCAATCTATAATGTGGCCATTCCATAATGTGCAGCCACAACAGAGAATGCACATGTACAGACAGATTTTGCCAGTTTCCACATTGGCAGCTGCAGAAGGCCCAGCTCAGATGAGTGAAGCTGTGGTGGTGGAGTACAGGGAGAGAGTCAATCCAGCAGATATGAGGGACCAAGGCCATGAAGGGCTTTGTCTAAATCACCCACCTCCCCTTCCCCCTCACATGCACCTTGAGTGCTGTTTTGGCAATGCAGGCTCCTACAGCCAGCGCTAACTGTGCATATGTATCAGTGCAACCTGAGAAGCTATATCCAGTCATATTCCCCCCTTCATGCTATGGGGCATACTTTTTTGGTGGGGGAATATGGCAGCGATGCTGGTAGCCCCGTACTGGGCCCCCAATATGGTCCCATGCCAGGATGCCCCTGTGTGGGGGAGTGGGGCACACCTGGATTTCAGTGAGTGACAAGCAGCT